TTTCTCCACTTTGATAAATGTAAACTAAAGCGAACCTTACAATTAAATTATTAATTCCTTCGTATATTATTGGTTTAAGTTGTTGAAAATTAATATTTCAATTGTAAGGTTCGCATTAGCATACATATATGAGAGTGGAGTAAAGTATATGCATTTTTTAATAGTTTTTTGAATATGGCTCTTTGAAGAAGAAAAAGCATAGATTTTCTTACAAAATGACTGATAACTAAAAAACTAATCCAAATTTTTGAAAAAGAAAAAAATACTTCTTTATTATGTCAAAACACAATTATGTGCCGACTTTCGTGCCTGGGCGAGGCTTCTGGGGCGATATATTGTGATTACAGACACACGCACAGCCGCGTTTATTATTATGTATAGATAGATAATTTATCTTAAATCCGTTTTACGATATTTTAAATATCTTCATAGTAAAGGTTTTCGATTTGCAACTGGCACATTTCGAACTTCACTAATCAAAAATCCGTTGGCCTTACATCAAGAACCACTGCTATAAAGGAAGCAACATTAATTATCACTTTGTTACTATATTTTGATATTAAATGCCATTTTCATTACCCATATTATATTGAAAGATTTTATCAACTGGATTTTTTTATCATGGAAAAACCTCAATTCCAACTTTTAGATTAAAGCAGATTTTTAACAAGTTAAAAAATTTAAAATCTTATCACGTCATCAACCCTACTCCCTACTTGGCTCACTATATTTTTTCACAACATTGACGTCTTCGGAAGTCTAACAAAAGTTAGTACTGGAGTAGCCCGGCTGGTTAGGCATTGGTCAAATGTCCGTGAGGTCGTGAGTTCAATCATCTCCGTCCGAAGACTCCCGTGTACAGAATGATGACTGGTGCACGATAAATTTGTCAGGGTTACAAAGTTTCTCAAGTTTTGATTCAGTTTTCAAACCTAAGTTACGTTCAATTAAAACCTAAAATATGTTGTTACTGAGATTTTCCCCATTTATTTACTTTAATTTATATAACGAGTTCTTATCTACTGTAATGAAGGCACTGGATACATTTCCTCAATTAAAAGCGTATTTTGATATTTCCCAGGGGCTTGGCACGTTTTCTATATTTAATAAATTGTTTTATCTTCTTCTAATAATTTAATAGTTTTTTTATGGGGCCTGGTTGGTAGGAGGTTGGATAAGTTCTCCCATAAGAAATCAATACCTCTGTGCTCCGATTCGGGTTAAAATTATGATTTGCAGATGAATGTGTCCTCCGTATTAAACGGGATCTGACGTATATATGTTGTCTGCGTATCATCCTCAAGGATATTTCCCAAACCGTCGCCAATAGCTCAATGTGAAGCACCTTTTTTCTTTTTCTTTCTTTATTTTTCTAAAAATAAATAAAAGTGGCCTACCAACAAAAAGTTCACTTAGAAAAAAAATCCGTTAAAAAAAATATTTTGATCATCTATCAATTTATAAGTAAACCTATATTTGCTGATGGCCCTAAGGCAAATAAAGACGTAGCATCTGCTATCTTTTTTACGCAACGCGATTTTCTCCGAGATGCTTCGCACTACTTTACTAGTTTCTAACTGTATCTGCATTTCATGCCTTTCATCTAGCTCTTAGTTAAAGCGGCAGACGGAAAAAAAGGTCCCGGAAAAAAAGGTACCTCCACAGGGAAAATCTGTCAGGATATTTCCCCTCTCGCTTTCTGGGCAGCATGAATGCTTCTCGATGTTTCAATGAATATTCTTTTTATCTGTAATAATTCAGATTAGATCATTGAGGTAAGGAAAAGGGTAGGGGGGGGGGGTACTAATGGGCTGGTTGTATTACGCTTTTTTTTTAAATTTTATTTCGTTTATTTATTTTTCTTTGATTATTTTTTAAAGCGGGAAGATACTATTTAAATTTTTCAATAATGTTTTACTTTTTTTTTTGTAATTTTTTTACGTGAAAAATGTGTGCGCGACACGTGAAAATGTAAAAAACACATGTTAAGTGAAAATGTAAAAAACACATGTGCGCGACACGAAAAAAAAAAAAAAAAAACCATGCACGGAACAGCAAAAAGCGCTTCAATCTAATCTTCTCATTTCAAATATTTTCCCCTACAGAATTTTCCCTACACTTGTACCTTTTTTTCCGGGACCTTTTTTTCCGTACCTTTTTTTCTGGTGCCTTTTTTTTCCTAGAATTGTTAAAGCTCCCCTCAGATCCCATCATTAAAGTCAAATAATTTATCCACTCTTCAAGAAAGGGGTTTGAAA